TACTTTTAAGTCCTGTTCCTTCCCCAGGTTTGGGAGGTTCTCAGCTATTATTTCTTTGAACAAGCTCCCTGTTCCTTTCTCCCTCTCTTCTCTCTCTGGAATATCTATAATCCTTATGTTGCATTTCCTAATTGAGTTGGATATTTCTCAAAGAATTTCTTCATTTTTTAAAAATCTTAGTTCTCTCCTCCTCCACCTGAAGCATTTCTATATTTCTATCCTCTAAATCACTAATTCTGTCTTCCATAATGGCAGCTCTATTATTTAAGGATTCTAGATTATGTTTTTGCTGAGGAAGATTAGCCCTGAGCTAACATGTGTGCCAATCTTCCTCTACTTTATATGTGAGTTCTCACCACAGCATGGCTGACGAGTAGTGTAGGTCTAAGCCCAGGATCTGATTTGGCGAACCAGGGCCACTGAAGTGGAGTATGCCAAACCCAACCACCATGCCATTGGGCCAGCCCCTCTAGATTATTTTTTATCTCATTAATTGTGTTCTTTATCTCCAGAATTTCTGTATGGTTTTTTTTTTTTAGAGTTTTAATCTCTTAGGTGAAGTATTCCTTCTGTTCATTAATTTTATTCCTGAGCTCACTGAACTGTCTGTCTGAGTTTTCTTGTAACTCGTTGAGTTTCTTTATGACAACTATTTTGAATTCTATGTCATTTATATTGTAAATTTCTGTGACTTCAGGATTGGTTTCTGGAGACTTGTCATTCTCCTTCTGCTCTGAAGTGTTATTGTAGTTTTTCATGATGTTTGATGAACTGATCCTTTGCTGAGGCATTTGTAGTAGTATCAGGTTGCATATTCCACCCGCCACCTCGGTGGTGGGGGGGGCATGCAAGAGCTGTGTTTTCTGAACCTGCCATGTCTGCTGGAAGTTTATTCCTTTCTGTTTCTTAAACATCCTAAGCTTTCTCTCACCATAGGAAGTACATTTACTTTTCTATCTACCTAGAATTCTGCACACGGTTCCCTCTCTCCATTCAAGCTTCTGCTCAAATGTTATATTCTTAGAAAGGCTTTCCCTGATCATGCTGTCTAGAACACCACTCCATTCCCCAATCACTCTCCAACCCCTTATCCTTCTTTATTCTTCTTCATAACACTTATCATCCCCTGACATATCATATAGTTATTCATTTATTTGTCTATTTTCTGCCTCCCCAACTAGAATGTAATCCCACAAGAGCAGGAACTTCATTTTGTTCACTACTGTATTGCTACAAGCTAAAGTGCTGGGCGTTATTGATACTCCTTAAGTATCGGTTGAATAAATGAATAAATGACGTTTGTTATCGTGGCTCCTGTCTCTTCTTTCTTCAGTTCATCTCAGTAAAAATAGAAAAGAAAGTTATCGAGAGGAGAAGAATCTCAGCAAACAGTCGATCTCAGCCACAGACTTATCTGGGGCCTTGAGCATGCTGGCGCGCTCCACTGAACAAGTTTTCTGGGGCTTTTGAGAATGGTTCATTAGTCCATTCAACCACTGTCTTACAAACTCCTCAAGGTCCTTGACCCATTTTCTTTTCATGGTACATACATAGCAAAACTTTTAACCCTGAATCAATCCAAATGGTTGCTCTTCTGTATCCAGGCAGGCTGCAAAGCATTGCTGAAGAAAAATCATTCAGCTGGGAAGATTGACGCCACTATAAATCCATAGTCACTGATTTCAACCAATGAAGATAAGATTAATAAGGAAAACAATAGCTAATGTTACTCCTGAAAATGGTATAAATACTTTACATGCATTAACTCATTTAATACTTATAAACTACCATAAGGTAGGTATTAATTCCATTTTACTGATGAAGAAACTGAAGCATAAGCAACTAACCAGAAGTCACACAGATGGTAAGAGACAGCCTGAATTTTCAACTCAGGCATCCTGATTCCAGATCTTTAGCTTTTAACCCCCACAACCAGGCAATTTAATTATGTTTCTCTAGTCAGCTGGATCTCTACCACTGACTGTGACCAATGGGGCTATTTTGTTGCCTAACTCCCAGGGGTACCATTCATGTTTAGATTGTAACCAATACTTAGAGGGAAATTTATAGCCTTAAACCTATATTTCAAAAAATGAAAGACTGAACAGTCAGGAACCAAGCAACTAAAAAACTTAAGAAACTGAAAAAATGGAAAATAGAATAAATTCAATGAAAGCTAAAATAAGGAAATAATAAACATAAGAGCAGAAATTAATGAAGTAGGAAACAAAGATATAATTCAGAGGATCAACAAAGCCAAACTTAGTTCTTTGAAAAGAATAATAAAATTGAGAAACATGTGGCAAGACTTATCAAGACAAAAGGGGAGATGCCATAAATAAATATTATAAATAAAAAAGAGGCTATAACTATAGATATAAGCAGAGATTATAATGTGAGAATATTATTAAAAATAACATTGCTTTATTGTGTGCTAATGAACATGAAAGTTTAATTAAAAGCAAAATTTCAGGGCCAGCTTGGTAGTGTAATGGTTAAGTTCGTGCATTCTGCTTCAGTGGCCTGGGGTTTGCCGGTTTGGATCCTGGGCGTGGACCTACTCACTGCTCATCAAGCCATGCTGTGGCAGGATCCCATATAAAGCAGAGGAGGCTTGGCGTCGGATGTTAGCTCAGGGCTGATCTTCCTCACAAAAAAAAAAAAGAGAGAGAAAAAAGAAAAGAAACATAATATAGGAGGGACCTAGTATTGCAGATCAGTGGGGAAATATGAACTATTCAATAAGTAGTGTTGTGACAACTGGTTATACATATGGAAAGACAAAAAAAGAACTTAGATCTCTATCCTAATCCATTCACAAAAATTGATTCCTAGTGACTTAAAGAATTCAATGTGAAAAGAGAAGTTATAACACTTTCAGAATAAAATGTAAGATGACATCCTTACGACATTGGGGAGGGTGAGAATTTCTTAAGCAACACACCAAAAGTGCAAAACATAAATAAATAGGCTGATAAATTGGTAAAATTATGAACTTTTTGTTCATCAAAAGAGACAATAAATAAAAGATACAGACAACCACAAATTGGAAGAAAATATTGGCAACTCGTGTAATAAAAAACCTCCTAAAATCAATAAAAAACGAAAAATTCAGTAGAAAAATGGGCAAATGACATGAATAGCCATCTTACAGAAAAGGAAACTTAACTGGCTTATATATTAGTCTGCTTGGACTGCTATAACAAAATACCATAGACTAGGTCGCTTAAACAACAGAAATTTATTTCTCATAGTTCTGGAGTCCAAGATCAAGGTGCTAGCAAGGTAGGTTTCATTCTAATGCTTCTTTCTTGGCTTGTAGGCAGCCACCATCTCCTTGTGTGCTCACATGACTCTTCTTTGTGCTCATAGGGGTGGAGGAAGAGAGAGTGTGAGCAAGCTGTCTAGTGTCTCTTTTTATAAAAGCACTAATCCCATCATTAGGGCCCCATTGTCATGACCGCATCTAACCCTAATTACCTTCCCAAAGCCCCATCTCCAAATACCATCACATTGGGGGTTATGGCTTCAATATACAAATTTTGGAAGGACACAATTCTGTCCATAGCAGCTTATAAACATCTTTCTACTGCCTAATCTCATTAATAATTAAGGAATGTAAATTATAATAAAAATCAAATACGATTTTACACTCATCAAATTATACAAAACTGAAACATCTGATGATATTAAGTGCTGACCAGGATGCGGAGCAAGGGAACTCTCATTCACTGCGGGTGGGAATGTAAACTGGAATAAAGAGTTTGGAAAAGAGGTATTTTCTAGTGAAATTGAAGAGGTACATACCCTATGTTCCAGCAGTTCTGCTCCTAGGTATATACTCTAAAGCACTGCTTTTTAAATTGCTGGGTGCAATCCAATAGTAAATTGTGAAATTAATTTTAGTGATGCTGAAGTATAATTTTCTGAAAGGTAAAATCATGACTCTCAACGAAATCTAAAATAAACATGTCAAAATATTATCTCATTAATTAATGAGACAGCCAGTAAAATGTTACAGGAATGTTGTATGAATTTGCTAAGAAACAGGACTATTGAAATGAATTTACTAACAGAGGCAAAAGTGCTTTAATATCCCATAGGTCAATAAAATGTTATGTTTTGAAGCATCTTTTCTACAAGGTGGACAAGAATGTTTTTAAATATTATCAGTTTTCTTGTAAAATAGCTTAGTCAATAGAAAGTCAGAGGTCCCTAAGAATTCAAATCCTTCCGGCATTTGCTAGACAATGCCCCAACCTTACGCTGAAAGGGGAGCCAGTAATATCTTTTGCTCTTTTCCAAGTCTTTGACAGTTTGACCTTTTGTATTTTTTGGTAATGAAATCGAAAAGAAGAAATAGAAATTTAGTGCATTACTGGTAGTAAGTACAAACATAGTTTCCTGAAATTTTTGTTTCAGATATACCCATCTATATACATACGTATGTGGTATTATTGGCTTTGATGAATGTTTTTGTTCACTGTGGGCTGGGGTCAGAAAGTTTGAAAGCCACCAGTGTGTGACATATTATGAGGTTCAACAGTGAAAACAGCTAGACGTTTTGAGTTCTCCTCCCTTCCCTTAAAGTAGGCATCCATTCACAGCGCCGGGCTCAAGACTCAGAAAATGATCTGAGTGAATGGTAAAGAATAGAGAGAAGCGCCATGCCGGGCGTTCATCTCCGTCCTACATTCACTCTGAGGTTCGCGCGCTGCCTGGAACGCCACAAGAATCGAGAGAGTACAGGCGGAGTGGAAACGGTGAGCCGGCCAGCCCACGAGGCAGGAGTTTAGGTTTGCAGCTGGGCTGTACCCTGCGGAGAATCAAGCACAAGCGCCGGGCCACAGCAGCCTGACGCTAGGAGCCGCTGCCACCGGCGAGCGGAAGAACACTGCGCACGCGCGGCGCGGCGGAAGCCGGCGGAGCGCCGAGGCGCGGTTCACCAGGCCCCGCCTCGCCGCCGGCCCTCGGCAGACTGCACTGCCGCGTCACCCCCGCCCTCTCCGCGCCCCTGCTGGTCGCGACTGCGCGCGCAGAACCGGAGTCGGCCCCGGCGGGAAGGGGAAGCGGCGGGTAAGAAGGGCCTGCGTCCTGGGTGCGTCTGTGACGGGGGTGGGCATTTGCTCTTCGGCTCTCTCCGGCTCTCGGGACCTTGCAGAGGAGAGTGAGAGGAGCCTCTGGAACCGGCTCACTCCCGCCGCTCAGGCGTGCCTCTGACAGTGGAAGTGTTTTCGCCCTCCCCGAGATCTTCTGGACCGCTCCTGCCTGTCCTCTCCCCCCCCCACCGGGGAATCTGAAGGCCGAGCCTCCGGCCCGTCTGCTGGCCCCAGACTTGTCTGAGATGCCTTCTCTGCCGTTTAGATAGCGCCAGAATGTTGATCCGCCTTTAATGTCGCAGCAGTTTACGGTGGCTCTCCGGGTCCAACCCCTAACTCAAGCACAAAGAGCCTCATTTTTTGACGCTCGCTGGTCCTGGAGTTCTTTCTGACACCCTTTGCGGAAGCAGTTTACCAGATGCTCTGGGCAGTGAATTCAAGGCCACTAAGCAGGTTCTCTTTACTTCTTTGGGCGTCTCCACCGTTTCCTGATAATCTGCCTGTCAGGTTTGGGTTTCTTGAGGCAACGTGCTTTACATTCCTATGCAATGTCCCGGAATTATTCGGTCACACCGTGTGCGCCTTTTGGAATGAAGTACGCCGCTAGCAGTGGGATAGTATCAGCAGTTACTAAGAAGCGTGCTGTCTGCTACAATGGATATTCAGTGAACTCTTTCTTTTTTTGTAGCAGGAGGCAGCATTTTAGCTCAGTGGCTGTGCTTGATGCCTTGAAGTTGGGGGCAGCGGAGATCCTTTGTAATTAAACCACTGGGGTCCGAAATCTGTTGACGGGAAGAAATCTAAAACAAAAAAGCCTGACAGCCATGTCATGTTTAATAATATCTGCAGGTCAGATTTCTATATAGAGACAAATACACCGTTTGCTTTTATATGCCAGTTAAATGTAATATGGTGACATTCTGTAGATACTGATGTGAAATTTTAGCAGCTACCTTGGAACCTCTCAATCAGATTTCTCAATAAGTTAATTCCTAGATAATCATGATAATCACCTTATTTTTCCTTTGATAAGTTTGACTGCTATAAACTTAACCACTTTTTTCTAACATCAGCCCACACCATTTGTCAGTCTTATTACCAATTCTCCTTGATGCCTAAATTACAAAACCTTAGTCATCTTAGATTTCCCCTGTGCTTCATCTCCGTATCTCTTATATTACCGAATCTCATGGTTTCTTGATTCAAAAAGTAACTTGGATTTATCCCTTTGATTCTCATTGTTGAAGCTGTATGGCTGTTTTCTAGGACTTTGTTACCTCTTAGCTCACCCCCAGACGGCTCAAATAACAGTTCTGAAACATAGCTTTTGTCATGTTTACTTTTGATGAACCTAGAAAGGCTCAGGACCAAATTTCTGTGCTTGGGTTTCAAAGCCCTTTCTCTATAACCTGGCCTAGTAATTCCTATGTATGTGATACGATGGGAAAAGCCCAGGATTTAGAGTAAGACCTGGATTCAAATACCGAGTGTGTCATTGTACTAACACTGTGTCCTTGGGAAACTCTGAGCTTATTGTTATTCGAAACTCTTATTTCGAATAACAATATTTTTTCTTCCAGCCTCTTAATTATTGTGAGAATTACAGTTGGCATAATGTGTGGCAAAGCTATCAGACTTAAACAAACAAAAACAATCTAAGCTATTATTGTTATTTCTCATTGTACTCATTCATTTCACAAACATTTGAAAATCTAATGTATGTCAGATACTGGTGCTACAGCTATGGAAGATAGGCCTTGCCCTTAAGGGACTGTCTTTCAGGGAGCTTTCTGTGTGTGTGTGTGTGTGTGTGTGTGTGTGTGTGTACGGAGTAGGGTGGTAGAGTGCCTGACAAGGTCGAGTGTGATATAGGCTGTAGAATAGGTAAGCCTAGGGTGAGCACCAAACCCAGAGGTGAGAGGAACCAGGCAGGGTTCCAGGAGGAAATTATATTTGAACAGAGTCTTGAACTATAACAAAGATGCAGAAGGAGAAGGTGGGGAAGGGTGCCATGAAAGAGACACTTTTAGAGAACTACAAGTTTTTTTTGACTACTAAGTTCAAAGAGGAGTATCGGAGATAGGACTGGATAGGTAGACAGGGGTGAGATTTGAAGGGCTTTGTGTGCTAAGGGAAGTGTACAAATTGAAGGATTTTAAGCAGGCAGTTGGCCTGATCACAGTTGCTTTTTGGAAGTTCATTCTGGCTGCAGTGTGTGCCTCCTTACTGCAGTGTACAAAAGTTTCTTTTTGCCATTGTGCTTTTCCTTATTTTTTATTTTTTTGCTGAGGAAGATTCTCCCTGAGCTAACATCCGCTGCCAATCTTCCTCTTTTTGTATGTGAGCCGCCACCACTGCATAGCCACTGACAGGTGAGTGGTGTAGGTCAGTGCCTGGGAACTGAACCTAGGCTGCTGAAGCAGAGCATGTGGAGCTTAACCACTGGGCCACTGGGGCTGGCCTTCCTTATTTTCTTTACTCCACCCAGAAGGGCTTATGACCTCTCCTCATACCTTAATACTATTTATCTTTCATTATCCAGTTCAGGTCCTATTTCTGCTGTGAAGCATCTTCCAATTGTTTTAGCCCCCATTACTTATTTCCTTCTCTGAAAAACCCTATTTGGAATAGTTCCACACAGTTTAGTCTTTGTTTCCTGTGTGCTTATGTCCCTAAGTAGATTGTAAGCTCCTTGAGGATAGGGAATGTTTCCCTTATGTGTATGAATAGGAGACATGTTAAACACAATACTATGTTGCTTGGTCTCTTTCTACTTTGTTTTTCAGGGTGGGACCAGATTATGGGCAACAGTCCTTTTAATTAATCTATCATCATCATGGCTAATGAGGGCTGTCCCAAGGCTGGTGAAAGTCCTTTTTCATCAGATAAACATGCCCAACTCATCTTGGCCCAGATTAATAAACTGAGGAACGGACAGCATTTCTGTGATGTGCAGCTGCAAGTCGGGAAGGAAACTTTTAAAGTTCATCGGCTGGTTTTGGCTGCCAGTAGCCCTTACTTTGCAGCTTTGTTCACTGGAGGAATGAAGGAGTCCTCAAAAGATGTTGTACAGATTTTAGGAATTGAAGCTGGAATCTTTCAAATACTTCTAGATTTCATTTACACAGGTAAGTTAAGTGAGCCTGTTGCTTTGAGTGAAGAAAGTGCATCACTTATGCACTACTATGGGACTATAAATTGATCTAACTTATGTGGAAAGTAATTTGGCAATATGTTATTATGAGCCTTTGGAAAGCTAATATCTTTTGACCAAGTATTCCTTTTCTAGGAATCCTAAGGAATTAATTAGTGATGCAGGTAAATATTTATGTACCAGGATGTTTGTTGTAACATTATTTATAATAGTGTATAATTGAATACAATCTGATTGTCCATCAGTAGGTTATATGGTTAAAGAAATTATGGTACATGCATATATAATAGAATTTTTTTAGATCTCATAAATGATTTATATGTATATAGATATATTCACACATGCACACTATCATGGAAGAATGTTTACCATATATTAAATTAAAAAAATCTGGCTATAGTTACAACCCCAATTTTGTAAAAAAAAAAAAAAATCATTGTGTGTATTTGTGCGCAGGAAAGAGACCGAAATGTTGATGGTGTTAATCTCTAGATGATGGATATGGAAGATTCTTATTTTTCCCTTTTTCTCTGTTTTTCCTCAAAAATATTTATATTCATGTATTATTTTAATCAAAACTTTTATTTTTAAAATGTTTTGAAGAGTTTTAATGACATTAGAAAATGCACACAAACACTATTATAAAGTATAAGTCTTATATATGCAACATAAATATACATGGAAAAAGGATTTGAAAGAAATACGCTAAAGTGTTAACACAACGCTATGTCTGCGATGGGGAAATGTGTGATTTTAATTTTAATTTTTATACTTTTCTGCCTTAAAGTTTTTTCCACAGTGAATATATATTACTCTTATAATCAGAAAATAATGTTTGAGGGGCCAGCCTGGTGGCATAGTGGTTAAGTTTGTGTGCTCCACTTCCCACAGCCTGGGGTTCACAGGTTCAGATCCCAGGCGTGGACCGATGCATCGCTTGTCAAGCCATACTGTGGTGGCGTCCCATAGAAAGTAGAGGAGGGCCGGCCCCGTGGCTTAGTGGTTAAGTGTGTGCGCTCCGCTACTGGCGGCCCGGGTTTGGATCCCGGGCGTGCACTGACAGACCGCTTCTCCAGCCATGCTGAGGCCGCGTCCCACATACAGCAACTAGAAGGATGTGCAACTATGACATACAACTATCTACTGGGGGACTTTGGGGAAAAAAAAGGAGGAGGATTGGCAATAGATGTTAGCTCAGAGCCGGTCTTCCTCAGCAAAAAGAGGAGGATTAGCATGGGTGTTAGCTCAGGGCTGATCTTCCTCACAAAAAAAAAAAAAGAAAGTAGAAGAAAATGGGCATGGATGTTAGCCCAGGGCCAGTCTTCCTCATCAAAAAAAGAGGAGGATTGGCAACAGATGTTAGCTCCATGCTAATCTTCCTCACCCAAAAAAACAAAAGATGTTTGAAAACAAAGACTCTGTTTGGTCTAGTTTTGAGAATACACCATGCTCTCCTTAAGGGACTGCTTGGTGGGAGATAATTATGTGGCCTGATAAAGTATTGTTTAATTCATGGTATTTGAACCTGGAAAGTGACAAAAGGTGATTTCTTTTCTCTGTGTTGTTTCATATTCCTTTTTTGAAAATTTCAGAAAATGATAACTCTTAATTTGGGGATTGTAAAAATGCTTATCTTTTTTTTTTCCTGAGGAAGATTGGCCCAGCACTAACATCTGTTGCCAGTCTTTCTCTTTTTTCCTTTTTCTCCCCAAAGCCCCAGTACGTAGTTGTGTAGCATAGTTGTAGAGTTGTAGTTCTTCTATACGGGACGCCGCCTCAGCATGGCTTGATGAGCAGTGAGTAGGTCCGTGTCCAGGATCCAAACCGGTGCGAACCCAGTGGGAACTTAACTGCTACGCCTCCAGGAGGGCCCCAGAAATGATTATCTTTTATCTACTGAAATCAGTGCAACTCTGCCTATTGGCTAATGTACAAATTAACATTGAGGGGTTCTTGACCTCACTTTGCTAAATGACTTGTGTGAGCTGATCATACTACTTCATAAATGCGCCTGCTTCTCTTATTTGCAAAGTGTAAATTAACACAGATTAATCCAATGGAATTAGTGTTGAACTACATAAAAAAAGAAGAAATGCCACAAGTTGTCTGTTCTGCCTCTGTTGTCTGACACTAGTGACAAGAGATTTTTAGTGAAAGAGAATGTTTATGGTGTCACCATATTGCTAACGATTAGCACTTCCATCAAAGAAATAAAAAGTGGTAAAACCCGGAGAAATAAAGCCACTGAGCATATCTGGAGGGAAATAACATTGTGGAGTACTATTAACATTTAAGACTAAAATTGGGGTAACAGTTAAGAACAGTGTTTGGCTGCTAGTAAAAGATATAAAATGGCTTAACACGATAGCAGTTTATTTGTTTTTCTGCAAAAATGAATCCATAGTAGGCATTCTAAGGCTGGTGTTGTGGCCTCATGATGTCGTTAGTGTCCCATTCTTCTTCCAACATTTTGCTCCACCATTTACAGTTTGTAGCTTCTAATCTCATGATCACTGGACTCCAGCCAGTGGAAGGAGGAAGTGGGAAAGGCGAAAGGGCCTGCCAGCTGAGACTGTCCTCTTTTTAAGCTTTTCTGGTAGCCCTAATGAACAACTGCTGCATGTATATCCTGTTGGCCAAACTCATTCAACAGTTTACCCCTATCTGCACAGGAGGCTGAGAAGTGTAATTTTCAGTAGGGCACAGTTGCCACCCACAACAAAATCAAGGTTCTGTTAGTAGGATGAAAAGAAAATGAATATTGGGTATTTATTGGACAGGGAACTTTATAGTCTTTGATACAATTATTTCTTTAAAAACATGTTCTTTGATTTTCATTGTAATAGCATTTCCTTTTTTGGGATGTGGGGGCAGCAAAACCTATTTTATTGATCTCTCCTTTGGACTTGTCTATACATTCTTTATTACCCATTCACAATTCTAATAGGTCTTAATGGGTATTTCTCACCTTAGTTTATTATGCACTTTACTTGGAATCAAATGACTTGGGTTTGTGATCTAGCTCTGATCACATAATTAGCTTGTGATACAAGGCATTTCATTTAACTTTAGTCAATTATTCATTCATTCTTTCAACAGATATTTGTTGAATACTTTTTTTGAGCTAGGCACTGGGGATATGATAGTAAACAAGACAGGCATGGCCTCTGCCTTCAGAGAGCTTTATAGGTAATGCACATTAGGTACTTACGAAACAGAAATGAGCTTATGAGAGCCTCATTTTCCTTATTCATAAAGTGGGAATAGTAGCACTTTATAATTCTTGTGAAGGTTAAATGAGATAAATTTTAATAAATGTAAAAGTGCTTTTTGTGTCTACAAAGTCTTATTAAGTTATAGGGCATTCTTTTTATTACTCTTAAGTAACTCTTGGCTTTATCCGATAGCAGTCATTCAGCCCGTTACATCACTACCTATGATCTTATCTTTTCCAAATTTGTAGTGAATTCTCATTTTATTCAAGTTGTCTTATCTCAGTTTCCTCTGCAGCTGCTACCATCTACTCCCATGGTGGATTCCGTTTCTTACACTTTTGGAAAACCCCATTTGCGTTCAGCGAACCATATTCTTCCTCTCACTATAATCTCTTTGACCATTTATTCATTTAAAGAAATATTTTTGAGCACTTACTGTGTACTGGACATTGGGAATACGGAAGGGGCAAGCTTTGCCCCAAAAGATTTTATAAATCTAATTGGGAATACAAACTTAAGGCAAACTTAAGTGGAGTGAATGTCATAACAGGGGTAGAGGGAAAGTATAAGATTAAATGGAGAGTTGGAGAGTTTATCCTTATTAGGTGGGAGAATTACAGTGTTTTTTTCCCCTCTTAAATGTAATTGACTATTTGATGTCCTCCCAAAGTCATTATGTAAATAAATGTAAGTGAAGCCCTCTGGAAAGAGAGCAGAATATATATAGTTACTTAAATGTTAAGTATTTAATAACTTTTCATAGGTTATAGACTCTTGGTTATACATAACATTAAGAATTAACATTCAGGGGGCCAGCTCAGTGGCATAGTGGTTAAGTCTGGTGTGCTCTGCTTTGATGGTCTGGGGTTCACAGGTTTGGATTCCGGGCGCAGACCTACACAACACTCATCAAGCCATGCTGTGGCGGCATCCCACATACAAAATAGAGGAAGATTGGCACAGATGTTAGCTCAGGGACAATCTTCCTCAAGCAAAAAGAGGGAGATTGGCAACAGATGTCAGCTCAGGGCCAATCTTCCTCACCCCTCCAAAAAACAATTAACATTTGTATGGCACTTTATCTTAATTGAAGATAGGGACCTTGTCTTACTCTCCCCAGTGCCTCAGTAAATGTTTGTTAGATGCATGTAGCCTTATGTTAAAAGCATGGACTTGGATGTCAGTCCCTACCCTGCGACTCACTTAACCATGTGACTTGGGGACAAGTTACTTAAACTTTTATTCTGTTTTCTTAATACAAAAATAGGAAAAAAAAATACCTACTTTATGGGGTTGTAGTGAGGGTTAAATGAGTGCATAAAACAATTAATGCTGTATCTGGTTCATTGCAAGTGTTCCCTTAATGTTAAGTATCATCATCAAAGTCTTGTGCTCTTTCTACAAATCCTTTGTTGCCTTTTTACTTAGCAGTTATCTATGCTCCAAACACTAAGTTTATCAGTGTAATCAAGTATAATGCTTTTTGAATAGAATTCAAATGTTTGTTTTTATTTTATTGGCTGTTTTGTCTTCTACTTCCCTAGGTATAGTAAACATAGGTGTGAATAATGTCCAGGAGTTGATTGTTGCTGCAGACATGCTACAGTTGACTGAAGTTGTCAATCTTTGCTGTGAATTTCTGAAAGGACAAATTGATCCACTGAACTGCATTGGGATCTTTCAGTTCTCTGAGCAAATTGCCTGCCATGATCTTCTGGAATTCACGGAAAACTACATTCATGTCCACTTCTTAGAGGTTCATAGTGGGGAAGAGTTCCTGGCACTTACAAAAGATCAGCTAGTCAAAATCTTGCGAAGTGAAGAGCTTAGCATTGAGGATGAATACCAGGTCTTCTTAGCTGCAATGCAGTGGATTCTGAAAGATCTAGGAAAGAGAAGAAAACACGTGGTGGAAGTGCTAGACCCAATTAGATTCCCTTTATTACCTCCTCAAAGGCTTTTAAAGTATATAGAAGGTAATTGTTCTGTGGCATATCAAATTCGTCAGTTAATTATCCAGTGGCTTTTTCTCTGTTTGAAAGGCGATAGAGTGTTTTCATTTTTCAGTTCAATAGTAGACATTTATTGAATGATTACTATGTGCAAGATACAACTTTTGTGTTTTGTGGGTAGGCAGTAGTATTTCAGTATTTCTACCCATTATTTTAATCAAATCCTTATGTACTTTTCTAGAGATTAAATACTAAGGGAGATTAATAGATAAAAATACTGAAAGAGCTAAAATACCACTGCTGTTTTTGGCAGTACTAATTATTTCAGTGTAAGATTTCCTCTTGCCACTCTGAAAAGTTCAGCAAAACCTAACGTTTGAGGAAAATGAATATGCTAAAAACAAAACAAAAACTCAATAAATACTAGGTCCTCTCAATATAAAATGATTTTTATATTGATATAGTATCATACCTTCTAAGTAGTCTTTGAATCATCTTTAGGTTCTAAACTTTGAAAATACTTTTCACCACAGTATAAAATAGTTTTTATTTTTATGTTAGAAAACTGATAATATTTAAATTTATTTCTAAAAACTACTTGAGACCTGGTTTCACGGTTTGAAGCTTTTGCTCTTGTCATGTACTGAAACTTTAGGATATGACTGAATTGCTGGTGATCTTATGAATGAAATACACTGTTAGTATTAAAAGGTGTAATTCTGTGAAGGAATTCTTTTTTTTTTTTTTTTTTTTTGTGAGGAGATCAGCCCTGTGCTAACATCTGCCAATCCTCCTCTTTTTTTTTGCTGAGGAAGACGGCCCTGGGCTAATGTCTGTGCCCATCTTCCTCCACTTTATATGGGACGCCGCCACAGCATGGCTTGCCAAGCAGTGCGCCGGTGCGCGCCCGGGACCCGAACCAGCGAACCCCGGGCCGCCGCAGCAGAGCGCGCGCACCCAACCGCTTGTGCCACCGGGCCGGCCCCTGAAGGAATTCTTTTTAATGTGGATTTTTAGTTTTTCTCCACTCTGTTTAAGCATGTTAACAGACTTTCGTAGGTTTTTCTGAGTGATATCTTGTATTAATGCATATACAGTCAATTGTTGTTATTCGTGGTAGTTTTGTTCTGTCAAGTTGCCACGAACACTGAATTGGCAAACATTGAGCCATTGTTCCTAGAGGAAATACGTGGTAAGTTCTTATAAGCCTCTGGCCACAACATTTTTGTCAACTGATCAATACATAACCTTATTTTATGTGTGTTTCTGTCAAAAGTTCCTTATTTGATATATATTGTTGATTCATTAACATTGAACTCATGGCCAACCACATTATGTTCATGCCTGAATGAAGCCTGTCTGACACATGTATTTTCTCTATGAGGCACATCACAGCCTTCTTGCACTTAGGAACACTAGATAGGACAACACTAGATAGGACTTCAGCAGTATGCTTGGGGGCCATTTTAAACAGCAAAATCACCAACAAAAAGTACAAAAATGTGAAAAATATGGCACTAAGTAGACTGTGAAAAGGACACTTGTTTACAGTATGAGACCTGAAACAAGAAGGCAGAGCGTCACCTTGTTGGGCCTCACCTGGAAATTTGCATGTCAAGTAATTCAGATTTTTTGCCACTCTGTGGCATGTCCATGAATGACCAGGAAAGCGTCATGAGCATTGATTTGGGTTACAAATACATGTTAGTGAGTGGATATGTTCACAAATAAGCAATCCACAAATAATGACGTCTGACTGTATTTAAATGCTAAAATAAGAGAGAAATTATCCAGACACATTTTTGCATGAATCATGTGGGAATTTAGGGACAAAGGCTTTCATGGTTGAGTAGGTTTTTCCCAAGTGCCACAGACACAGAGTGCCAAAGGAAAGTTCCTCTGCTAGGAGCAAGGGAAGGTTCCCTAGAATTGGGGTGTGTTTTCCTGCAGCTTTTTATAAGCATGCCCAATAGTTATCACCTAAAGATATTTCACTGGAGTAAAAACTGCAAGGAGTCAAGAGAGAAGTAAATGCAGGATTTTTTTAAAAGGCAGCTTTAATATTTTTCAACTTAGGAACTTTTTCTCTTTCATCATATTGGGGAAAAGATGGGCAATTTATGCAGAAAAATGAAAATCTACCACAAAATTCAGAGAGGAAGCAAAAGACTTAATTGAAATGGTTAAGTTATATTATGTGAAATGTGTAATTTTTCCCCCTGGTGTATATATTTTTTATTTACCACTGGAATAATTCAGGCAATTTAATATTATTAGCTATATGCTAACATATTTATTTCTTGCATTTTAGAGAGTGACTTTACTTTTTTTTAATGGTACATGCTCTTATAAAATGTTTAGGTAATAAAGTATGAAAAAACAACAAATCACCCAAAGTCTGCCACCCAGAAATAACCAGTTATAATTAACATTCAGTAAATATCATTCTGGATATCTCTATATAGGAGGATAGATGATGGATGGATGGATGGTTGGATAGATAGGAAAAAAATTGATAAGAATAAGAATCATTCAATACGTACTATTTATAATACAAAAAATGTGGTTAAATCTCACTAAAAGTTAACAAAGAAGAAACTGAGGGGCCGGCTCCGTGGCTTAGCGGTTAAGTGCACGCGCTCTGATGCTGGCGGCCCGGGTTCGGATCCCGGGAGCGCCCCGAGGCACCGCTTCTCCGTCCAACGTGAGGCCGAGTCCCACGTACAGCAACTAGAAGGATGTGAACCTATGACATACAACTATCTACTGGGGCTTTGGGGGAAAAAAACTGAATAAATAAAATCTTTAAAAAAAAAAAAAAAAAAAAAAAAAAAAAAAAAAGAAGAAACTGAAATAATAACTAATTTCAGATAAATGTTTCTTTACCCCACGAAATATTCATTCTAAAAGGTTCTTATAGAGTTAAGGACAAAAGAGGAAAATAATTAAAAGACAAAATCATAGTTTCACTTTGTGTTTCAATTTTAAACACTAGAGACTCTGCTAAGAAAAATGAGGTAATTAGCATTGTTATTTTTCTTCCTACCCCCCTGAAGGTTTATAGCTTTTATATATATATTTTTTTTTGGTGAGGAAGACTAGCCCTGAGCTAACATCCGTTGCCAATCCTCTTTTTGCTGAGGAAGATTGGCCCTGGGCTAACATCCTTGCTCATCTTCCTCTACTTTATATGTGGGACGCCTGCCACAGCATGGCTTGATAAGCAGTGCATAGGTCTGCACTCGGGCTCTGAACCCACGAACCCCCAGCCGCCAAAGCAGAGTGCCCACTTAATCACTACGCCGCCAGGCTAGCCCCTATATAGATTTTTTTCAATAATTATTCCCCTAGCTCTGTGCTTTTGTTCTGTATTTAAGTGGATTTGATGCTCTCTACCTGGTTTTCAAACGTAGTCTTTTTATTCCTCAATTTTCTTTTCTGATTCTTCATTTGGTTGGCTGGATTTCATCACGAAGTAACTTTTCTCAGGAAAAGCTCATGATTACTGTATTTCCTGAATTTTTTTCATATTTGAGAATTTCTGCCTGTTGCTTTTTAAATTAATTTAACAGCAATTTGGGTGGCATAATATTCTTACTTTTATTTATTTATTTTTTTGTGAGGAAGATCAGCCCTGAGCTAACATTCATGCCAATCCTCCTCTTTTTGCTGAGGAAGACTGACCCTGGGCTAACATCCGTGCCCATCTTCCTCCACTTTATATGGGACGCCGCCACAGCATGGCCTGACAAGTGGTACATCGGTGTGCACCCCGGGATCCGAACCTGGGCCGCCAGCAGTGGAGCGCATGCACTTAACTGCTACGCCATGGGGCCTGCCCCGGGTGGCATAATATTCTTAAGTTATGACAGTACTCCTCCATGCCCCCGCCCCTCAAACTTTGTAAGGCATGGGGGTTTTTTTGTTTTTTTTAATGACTTGCTTTTTCTGCTTGGATGCCTAAAGAATTCTCTCATTATTCTTTTTTTTTTTTTTTT